GCCTCACATAAAACATCAACCTGCTTAGCTAATATTTTATCTGTTCATTAAGATTTCACAGTTCTAATACTATGTATGAATTCCAATATGTACAAATTCCAATATATGCTGTTTTATTTGTCTTTTCTACACAAAATGTTGGCTATTTCCAGTTCTTATTATGAGCTTAAAAAACAAATCCAACACATGCAAAATAAGTAAACAGTAAATCAAAATCAAACAGCACAGCATGATAGGCAGCCATCATGGTGACTCTTCTGCTCAAATATTACAGCAAGATGCCTGAGAATCCACACAGTCACACTAACCACTTCATGGACCTCTTGAGGGAAGGAGTAACTCCATAGAGCACTGTAAATTTTCAATCCTCTTTATAAACATAAAGAAGCAGCCTCCAAAATATTCCCTTTCAGTGGATAGGGGAAAAAATAAAACAGAAAACAACAACAAAAATAAAGTAAAAAGAGAAAGAGAAAAAAAAGAAAAAAATGAAGAAAAGAAAAAAGAGAAAAGGGAAAAGGGAAAAGAAAAAGGATAAAAAAAGGAAAAACAAAAAAGAAAAAAGAAAGAAACAAAAAAGAAAAAAGAAATAAAGAAAAAAAAAAGAAGAAAGAAAAAAAGAAGAAAAAAGAAAGAAAAAGAAGAAAAACCATAGATGGCAGCTCTTGGCTGGCTTTCCAATGCCAGCAGTGGAAAAAACTAATAAAGATGTAAGCATGGATAAAACTTTTCCAGAATTTTCTAACATTTTAGGCTTCTTTCAAGACTCATGTCTTCGCTTTCACTTATGTCACATCAAAGTGCAAAATACTAATTTAGTTCAATAAATCCCAAATTTTTCCTCTCATCAAAACCAGAACTCTATTGTTGCTCATATTAATGCTGAATTCCAAGGGCAGTGTAACTGCTGAGAGCTGAATCACAAACATCCTCCCCAGATTAACTTGGAGGAGTATTCTTAATGAAAGAAGACATTTTGGAAAGTTAACAGGAAGTTTACATTCCAGCCTTGAGACATGATTCCCACCACCTGGGCTGCCAATTAATGTCTTTGCTTTGTCATTTCCTATAGAAGTCAACAAACTCACCAGGTGATAAGCAAGTCTTGTTAACACTATCTGGAAGAAAAGTAAGCGAGTGTTCTTCCTGTCCACAGGCAGGATGGAAGAAATAAAGGCAGAAAGAGGCATACCCATTATCTCCAGTATGTTACAGCCCCAAACACCTAGCCATCAGAGAGGGATTCAACCCCGTCACTACAAATACAACTTCTTAAACCATAAACATGGAACAGAAAGTCCTTTTTCAGAGAACAGAAGATTGTTTTCAATTTTTTTGCAGCGCAAGATTTAAATGTAAAATCCAATGACTTTTCCAGCCACCCCACCTTTGTGAAAGCTATGGATGTTTTTCCTGGAATTTACTCCATTCTTCATGGAGTAAAAAATGGGCAAAACTGAAAAAGAAAGTGTATTTTTACAATGCATGTGAGCAAACTATTTACTCATTGTTTACAGGAACCTCTGAAGTAAATAGCTTTACAAAACCAAAAAGGAAACTCAAAGGGTCATATAGCATAAAAGTAACAATACAAATATCTTATGTAATGATACTACAGCACATATTTGAAAACTTAAAAAGATGGTTTTCTTAGGCTCAAGGCCGCCCTGGATCAAGGAGATACACACAAAGAAGATAAATTAACCTGTAATTACTCTTCTAGAGCTCCTGCTCCTTCCTTTGAACTTCACTGTGTTTTTCAGCAGTGAGAACAAGATCCTGAATTAAATGGACTTCAGGCTTTCTGTAACAGCAGCAAATGTCAACATTCCAGTTACCAAGAATGCCTGTGAACTACCAATGAATTCATGGGAAGTTTCACATGCCCACATACAGCCACCTCACCAAAAAAAATTAACTCAGTAATGTGCAAGATTATCTGAGTTACACTGAATGTGGCATCTTACAAAAAGTAAAATCTACACTTCCAGATATTGTACAAAGTTCTTAAGGAACAACAACAGTCTGCACACCAGCACTGCCAATTTAACTTGTGCCACCCACAGGTGTTTATTTCATAGGAAATTAAAAGACTTCAACACAAACAAAATGTCAAAGTATTCTTCAGAAGGCACTATTTTTTGCACGAGATTATTTTATTTTGACTAATCCCATCTAAAAGAAAAATGCATGTAAAATTTAATTATATTTTCCTCAAGGCAGGCAGGTGGTAGACCCAGTTTGAAAGGTGCAGAAGCTCAAATTTCTAGAGAAAGGTAAATAATAAATGATCTATTTGCTTATGACTTATCACTACTTGTGACTATTCCTACAATGACAGAAGATAAGATAATCCTGAAAAGTAAGTTTAAAGTCTGGTTATATTGAACATATTAAAAAAGCCAAGTATTAGGGCAAAATGAGCATTTTATGTATACTGTTTCTTCACACGGTGACCAAAACATCACACTACATAAGCACATAAGAAGTACATACCAAAATGTTGCTGTATGAATTCTGAAGAGTATCTGTGACAGCTACCTGAGTGACACTGCAAGTATCAGCACTTATAGAACATCCATACTGCTGTACAAGTGATCTTTCAGTTGCTCTGCATGGCACAAGACCACAGTAATGACCAAATGAACTTTCTTTCCCTAAATGATACTCTACTACAAGATAAAGGAAAGCTTAATCAACCAGAATAAATCATTGCTGTAGGTTTTACTGCAGGATCTGCAGTTAATGCTGTTTTTGAGACAGTCACGTTGGCTATCTTCTTTTGAGTGATACTATCTGCTTCAGCAATTTCTAGTAAACTAAGAGCCTCTCAGCTCCATCTCTAAGGTTACTTCAGCATAAGTAAAGAAAGAAAGTGAATGTTGAGAAATGAATGGCATAGAATATTCCAAGGGATATAATTTACAAATTATGGACTGTGGCATTGTAATAGTCAATCTGGCAGTCACACATGTACACAGATTGAGATAAACCATGAATCCCTCAATGGAAGAGAAACACTTGCCTTTTGAAAAGAAGTGATGCATTTTTAGCACCTTTTCCAAACAAGTTTAAAGTAAAACATGAGGAGTCATAGGCAAACTTATGCTTCTGGGACAAGCAATGTAATTTAGTTAACCAGTGCAACTAATTAACTCCTTCAGTTTTGTCTTTTCTAGCAATGTAATCTTGAGTTTATTTGGGATTTTGACTTTTTTATTACTATTTTTTACCCAGACACTTCTCTGGGTAATATATATATATATATATATACACACACACACACACACACACACATATAATGCATACTAGATATATGTAATGTAAATATAATATTGACAATTTTCTTTATTACTGTTTTTTACCCAGACACCTGTCTGGGTAATATATATATATATAAAATGCATACTAGATATATGTAATGTAAATATAATATTGAAATTATTTACTTTTCTTGCAGAACAATCAACATAGTAGATACTATTTATATACTACCAACATTTTATTTCACGTCTCCTAAAAATTCTCCAAGTGATTTTATATACAAGCCAAACAGAAAGGTAAGAAAATTCACAACTGTCCAATGGTGTGGTCAAGATTGTCTTTAAATTTATTTTTTAAACAGAATTTATGCATTTCTTTCCATTTATTCAGATCTTCAGAAAGAGATAATGCAGCTTATGTCTGACAGCTTAACACTTTTAAGGCAATTCCCAATCTCACCTGCCAGAGTTTACTCTGAACAGAGAACCAGGTAAGAAGAAGTAGCTACAATCAGACAATTAGCCTACTGAAAAATGCCATGGGCAAGTTTTTGAGATACCGGAACACTTAGCAGCTCCCCAAGAAAAAAAAAAAAAAGGAGAAACAAAAGTGGATGCTGTGAATAGTCCACAGAATATTTTCAGAGCAAAAGGTAATTGACCTTCTTCCATTGAGGTTTTTTTTTAATAAATACCACAAAAACAAAGACATATTAAGTCTGTCTCTTATATGGACACTGTCTGGAAAATTATGTCAAATTATGTACTCATTTCTACCATCCAAATGCATCACTGCTGGAACTTTCTTAACAGTACTGTTATACAGTGACAGAAATAAAGACTGTTCTCAGCAACACAGGTTGGTAACTCACTGGATGGTATCTGCAGTCTCACATTTGTTATTACCGCTGGTATTGAAGCATCAGTCAAATTCCTTCACCACGACTAGCATTGAGACCTACTGCTTTAAATTTGACATTATATACTTGCATAAGGCAGCCTGGTTATTGCTGCGCCAGTGTGATGACTCAAACCTGTGCTCAGAACATCACAACCTCTATATGTTTTCACGATCTTAAAATGTCTCTAGGCCAGCACTATGAATGCAATGCAGCTCTAAAAAGAAGAGATTCAAGAGATACTAATACAAATAATCCTTTTGTAATGAGTCATTGTCTCAAAAGAGCTCTGAAGATATTAAAATTTCAAGTGCTATCACTGCTCTTACAGTTTCCCAAGAGGACTCCCTAGATTCTTGAGACACACTATCAAGGGCAAAACATTACATAGCCTTAAGTTTAATAAATTCATAAGAAAAAGATACTGCCTTAGCCTGAGTGACTTTTCAGTTCTGTTGACGATAGCCAAAAATCCTTCCTGGTCTTCCACTCAAAATGTGAGCATTTATTTTCATTTTAATCTCAGAGCCTTCTCCCTGATGTTTTACATAAGACTGACAATTAACAGCATAACTACATTACCAACATCTTCACTGTTTTCCTCCCTTCCTTCATTTTTCCCCTCCCACTCAGCTGACTCGTGTTCCCAGCAGGGTAACAGACTCCTCAGAATGACATACTGCCTGTCTGACTGCACAACACCCACATTTCATTAGGGTCTGTGTTGGGCTCTTGAGTGCTCTCACAGTAACAGCCAGACCTTCAGTAAGCTTTAAAAAAAAATGTTATTAATTTCATTTTACTCGGAAGTTTGCTTTAAAAATCAAAATTCTCTTACCTAATGTTTCCTTTTGCAGCTCACGGCATCTACTTTGCAGCTCATTCCCTTGCTGAAGTGAAGTTTGAAGCTGTTGACTTTTCAGCTCAACTGTGTCAGCCACCAGTGTCAGATGTTTTACCTTTTCTTGGAGGCATTCATTCTCTCTCTGGGACTTTGCTAATCTTTGATTCAATTTGGGTATTTCTGGGGAGATTAAAAAAAACAAACATATAGGCTGTTGTCAAATGTACCTTCTTTACTAATAAATATTGCACCCGATTTTCCACTTCAGGACTTCAGCATGGGTAAGAATCAACACTTCTGCTGAGAACATAGAGCACCAGAAGAAGTGCTTTGTGCAATACTGATAACTCCTACTTAGCCAAATGCATATTATTGAGAAATAATAAAAAATTTATTCTAAGTAATAATATGTATTTCTTCTAAGATCTCAATCAAATTAAAATACATGTCTATATAATCCACAGGAACTAACAGGTGACATAAATACTTGGATTCAAGCCTTCTATCTTCAGAAGATACATAAACCATTGTCAACATACAAAACCAACTGCAGACTCATTGAAATTAATTTGAGAAAATATCAAGGGGGTTAGCCTCTGCTAAAGCTCAGTCTGAAACTTCTGGTTCAAATGATATTTGGGCACATGTAATACATTTTATTTTCTCATTCCTTAGATGACAACTGCTGTTAAAGTAATCACAAAGTGTATCTTTATTATATGAAATACAGGTTTTGTCTCTATCTTTCGTCAACTCTTCAACATGGGAGAGCAGAAGACCCAACGAAGTTTCCTGGGAGGTTTTTACTGCGAGGTAAACAACTAATTATGGGTGAAGCGTAGTAGGTCTCCTATATTTTCATGTGTTTTCCTGAGTTCAGTTATTCTCAATGACTGCATTTTAACATCTCCAGAAGTAGTTGCAATTCTATTCTATGCGTTCTCCAACTACAGCCCTAAATGTTCCATTGTCCAAAGAAGTAACAAAACTTTTATTTATATTAATAATGACAATATTCCAGTCAGATTAAGGCTAATTCTATTGTCAAGTCAGCTATTATGTTTTATATGCTGCCCACATGCAGCATATAAAACTTTGTGTCATGCAAATATTTTCATTATCTACAGTCTTTCCCAACAATTCCACACTTAAATTGATTTACTGTTAGACTAAATGATGTAAATACCAGAAGTTTTTCATATACTTCTTTCTACTTGCCCTTAATTAACCAAAGTTAAACAATGTACACATACAAGACTTTTTGTAAGCTGTCTTCAAACTAACCAAACTGGTCTAGGCATAAGGAGTAGCACCTCATCTAACATTTTTCTCCTCAAAATCTGAATGGAAAAGTTCTGAAAACCTTGTTGCAGAAAGAGTAAGCTACAATACACAAAAATTTATTATACATTAATATGTTATCATATGTTAATAATGAGCAACTCATAAAACAACATAAAAACTTTTAAATAGCATTCACAGGCAAAAAAAGAAAACAAAAACAACAAAAAAGTGACTAAATTGGTTTGATTTAGAAAGCTAGATTTAAGGATTATATAATATTCACAGCATGGCACTATTCTCAGTAGGATATGCTGAATGGAGCTGGTGATACACAAGATGCATGGCACATATAAACCTTAAAGAACCTGAAAGACTGCACTTCTGCTTTTATACAGATATTCTATATATTTGCAGTATTACAACAAGTTAAACAAGGAATAATCCAGAAAAGAAGCCTTAAAATGTTACGAATCTCTTTGAACCTGCAAAAGCCTGCAGAAACACGTGTTCACGTTCCCTTTATTAGTTAGAAGTAGGCAGAGAATGAGCACAGGAAGACAGGAATCCTTAGGGACATACAATACTTTCTGTGCTCAGCCTAATTAGGAGATGAAGTCATGAATCAAAATATGCAATACTGACACTGACACTTAAATTAATTGTTCTTACGAAAACTGAATACTAAAAAAGTTATTTTCTGGCCACACTCATCTTCAGCCTTCTGGGCTCTCTGCTGCCTGGGCTCAGGACACCCCGACCTCTCTATTTTGACTCAGGCACAGTCTCAACAGGATGTGTGCCTACTGGCTCCTGTGGCACAGCTGCCCCACTTCTTCCCAGTCTGAACAAAGCAATCATTGAAAACATTAAAAATTACTTCTAATTTCACAGGAAGCATAGGCTACTAGGGAGCTATTATTTAAAATGAAGGTACATATTTTCTGAGATACTCTGCACATGCAGGTTTCACTTAAGCTGTGAATTTTCATGGGGGTTAACACAGTTTCACCAGCAGAGTGATTTGGGAGATGCACATCACCTACCTTGCCCTTATATTCCTTCTCACAAGGACAGAAAACATGATAGCAGCTCATCTACTTCTTCATTATCTTATAACCCTGATAAAATTAAACACCACAGGAAATAGCAACTCATCAACTTACACACACTGAAAAACTGTAAGGTAGGGAATACATATATGAAAAATTGGTCTAAAGGCCATTAAAGCTGCAGAAGTCAGCATAGGAACCAGTTTGGATGTGCTGGACGTTACAGTTTCTAATTACTGTATACTTTTTCAGCAAGACTAATCTCAACTGAGGCAGAGCAAAAGTGGTATTTAAGGATGAATCTGAGTTTTCAAGTCTTGACTGCCAGCCTGAGGGCTGGGCATGACCTTCAGGAACAAACCGTCAGTTATGACTTGCTCTCAGCTTCTCTTTTGCTGAAGGCTGCCCTTGTTTGAGCAGGAAGCAGTGTGTGGGCCAAGTGAATTATTCTCAGCCCACAGGCTGCTCCATGCCCCTTTCAATCCCAAAGACCCCTCAGATAAAGAGAGCTGTATTTGGGTATTACTTGTTCTTATTCAGAAACGGAAGGAGGGAGCAGTTGCTACATGTTGGGTGCAGGTTTGTTCACATACAGCAGCTCATGTATTCAACACAACCTGACGTGTACACCAGTAGGCTGGTCAACAGAAGAGGTGCAGCCTGCCCACACAGCAGGATGGCAGTATTGCAGGATCCTCAAGCAGCTCCACAAAATGATACTATACTGCTTTCATGTAGCATCATGTGTACATGTGAGCATGTGGAAAAAACTGGCAATAGTAAACATAGGGCAAATTAAAATATCTCCAAGTCTTTGTGTTGCAATCACATCTATATACTCATAGTAAGTATATTACTTATGTTTCAAATCATGGAAAGTACTAATATTACTTCAGTTTCAGTCTGACTTGGGTCAGTACCTAACAATAGGTTCAGCACACTAAGACAATAGGAACTGGACTGAGTTCAACGCAGTTCACGTGGTGCCACAGCAGCAGACGGGGTCTTCCATTACTTTGTATCTGGACAAGTTACTGTCAAACTTAGGAATTATCTAATTAATTTTACCTTCTAGTTTACTCTGCTACACTCAACTAACAAAAAAAAATGTTTTATCTGACCCAAAATTATTGCAAGATGATTTACCTGTCAAAGCTTCTTTGCTAACTGTTTTTATTTGTATAAAGATTTCTTCTTTCATGGCAGCCCAGTTCTCCAGATTACTGGAGATGACTTCTTTAATACTGTCTAGTTCACTTTTAATAAAAGGAAACAGTGAAACTGCCTTGTTCAGAGTAGAGCAATGGTGTTCCAATGTATTTCTGCAAGACAGAAAAATAATACCATACATTTTTAAAATGACAAAATACTATTAGTAAACTTGGGATCTAAGGTAAACTTGACAATTACTTTTATGTTATGTGATAATTTATACTATATTGGTTTACAACAATTTGTTGTATACTGAATATATTAATAATAAGTTTCTCCCTTGTAAATATTTATAATGTATATGTATAAATGAAGACAACTGTACAGACAATTGTACAGCCACTTTTTATTGAGAAATCAGAGTAATCATGTTTAAATGATTCTATGTCAAGTTTATGTTGACTCTTTATAAACAACGTATATAGGAAACACAGTATTTCCAATGCATTGCAAGCAAGTGGTACACACTTGTTTTTAAGTGTTAATGCCTTTAAATTTGTGAAAAACTTATCCTGTTGCTAATAAGATCAGCAATTAGCAGTGGTGTGTTCTGGTTACATTTGCTAACATTACAGCATCTCACTATATTCTGGAAAAGTAAAAAATACTAGAAAGGTTATAAACACTCCTCTCACTCACAATATTCTCTCTGCCTGTGCCTGCATCTCCCCTGAAACCTCTTGACTGATTATAAGTGTTCACAGGAAGCACAACATCAGCATCTCTTTTTGGGTTCTTACCTGAGCACTTGCGATTGTTTATAGGCAGCTTCCTTTTCCTCTTGGAAATATCTCAAATCTTCTTTTACATTTTTTAAATCATCTTGCTTGTTTTTAAGTTCCACTGTGAGGGTTCTTATTCTACAGATTTTACGAAAATAATCAGAAAGTATTATTTGCACTACTAAACAACCTCTAACTTATGTTTCAACTTTAAAAATATGCTGAAAGTCTTTTCAAAGATCATAATCACATATTTCACACTGAGGTATCAAATCTCCAAATAGAGAGCATTTAATCTTCTGGCCACTGTATGAGCCACTTGAGCAACTCTTTCAAAATAGTATTCATAGTATTTGTAAAATAATGTGGAAATGTGTATGTTCAATATCAGCTCATATGCAATGTGATATAAATAACTTAAGAATCCAGTGTTCATTCACAGATGCAACACTGAACTCGTTCATCCTCCAAAAAAACATAGCCTACTATGAAAATCTCAGTAACTAAATTCAGCTTTGGTACCCAGCTTAGGGGCTGCGATACCTAAAATGTAGGTACCTCATCCCAGCAGGGTGATGAAAACAAGGTACCACAATGAGCTGCACAGGTTCTACACACAACTGCAAGGATGTATAGGGAAGAGTAATGGAGAGCTCGTTTAAGCTGAAAAGGAAATTCCCTCAAGTCAGCCAACAGCAAATACCAAATATTTGGTTACGGTTACCATAATTGTTTTCCATTCAGATTGTTCATATATTCCTTAATTTCAGACATTTGCAAAAGATGGATCCCAATGAGTCACTCTTGTTTCCTTTCATCCTCATTTTCATACTCATTATCATGGAGCCCTACTTCTGCATTGCTGAATTAGTTAATGGCACTTCGCAAATACTAATAAAAAATACACATGTAAAATACATTCCTGTACCTTATTTTTACACCAACTGGAATTTAGGCCTCTGCTGCTTGCAGTGGCATTTTAAAGAGCTAAAGAGAAACTTTTCACACAAAATGTTTCCACCAGATATTCATTCTATGTACTCAGGCAATGACACTGGCATCAAAAAGATAAAAAATGTCAAATTAATATGATTATTTTCCTACATTTTTTTTAAGGAAGATTTAGGGAGAGGGCAGGAAGCTCTGGGCTAGAGCTAGGTTTCCATGTTCCCACAACTTGCCAGAGAAAACAGATTTATTTTCTGTACTTGCCCCCTTCTTTTCAGACAAAAACAAAACAAAATAAAACAAAAAAACCCCAACAAAACAACCAACCCAAAAAACCCAAACAGATTTCAGTCCTAGAACACTGTTGATCACAAGATGGGGTGGGAAGGACGTGATAAATCCTGGCTGGGTGTCTGGGTCATGTCAGAGCACCAGCTCTCCTCTGTTCTCCTCTCTCTCCTAATGCCCCTCAGGACACCTGCAAGCAATTGTCTTACAGAATAGGATGGAAGGAGACAATGTCACAACACCCTATATAGGTATTTGCCTCAAACAGATTGAAAAGTTTTTTTCATGCTTCCTCCTCCTTGGTCTTTCAGTGTGCTTTGTCACAACAGCACATAATGGGGTTTTCAGTTATAGTGCAGGTGACAAATGTTAGCATTCTACTTCAAATCTGACACCAAAAAAGATCCTAAATTTGGGACCAGGAAAGAAAAGTTTACTGTTATCAGGACTCACAAACACACTGTGTACCCTCCTCCTATTAAAAGTTTAAATTAAAGTTTGTCACTTCAATTACACCTATTTCAATGAGATTATGACATTTCAGGAGTATCTGTAATGGGGGAAAAGTGATCAGAAACAGATCAGATATATGCTCATGGTTATGTACAAGAGTAGTCAACACAAGATGGACAATAAGTACAAAGTGGAGAAAAATCATTCCTTCATCACAGCTTGTTTCACAGTCATCAGACAGCCCCTGTCCCAGCCATACACCAGCATCTCACAGCCAAGGAGAAGGGACACTGCCTCTTGCAGGGGTTTTGTTCTATCTCCACAGCACTTCCCACCCAGAGAAAGGGGGAATGGAACCAGAAGCTTCATCTGATGAGGCTGACCTGGTGGAGCTTTCCCCATTTATGGGATTTCCCACTCTCACAGCCTCACTCTTGCAGTTGGCAGCCAGACTGCCTACTCCCCAGCCAGCTCAGGCAATTCCCACACCACCTGTAGCGGAGGCTGCAGTCATTCGGGCATGATTCCTGCAGTCACCTGGAAGCATGCAGAGATGCAGACAGCTCAAGGTAAGTGTTCAGCACATTTCTTAACATCTGAATAATCTTCTAATTTTAATTGCTTCAAGTTTCGTATATGTATTTTGACAAAAACAGCCTCATGATAAGGCACAGGAGAACCAACCGGTACCTCTTACCATCATCACCTATCCACAGGAGAGGAGGAGGACGATAGCAGCCCTAGGAAGCATGGGGAGCTTTCCATCCCTGCACAGCTGTACACTCGTTGGCCTCCTGCCTGCTCAGGACATGACCCACCTTTGTGCTGGACTCTAAGCCATGGCAACCACAGCTGCCCACGTCAAAGGAGCAGAAGGCTGACCTGCAAGTTTTTCATTGCCTCTAAAATTTACCTTTTGAACTTTTTCATTCCAGCAGTGGTTCAGACCTGGGTTTTGTGTGGTTTTTTTTCAAGCACAGTTATCATAGTGTAAATAAATACATTTTAAACAGTGTTTTTCAACAACTTGGGACTTATTCCCACAATTGTAATGAAATGAATGGAACCGTACAGGAGTACCAGACAGTTGCATCCAATTCCCTTCTTTTGTTACATGCACAAAAAGAATACCACATAGTACATCACTAACATTTTACAGCACAACTTTTTTCTATTAGCTTCTATTAGCTGCAGATAACCACTCTAATACAGTCTTCTGTCCCCAAAAGTACTACAATGATATGTAACTGTTAAAAATGAGTCCCCTTATAAGCTTTCAACACTTACTTCTAACCCACAGCAAGCAGAGTAAATGATCTATTTGTCTACTGGTGACTCACTGTCACAAGTAAATAAATACTTGAATCAGCAAATATTTTACAAAATCAAAGGATGGCAGAAGCATTAGGTCAGCCTTTGTTTCAATTTTTAAAAGCAAAAGAAAATAAGAATGATTTATAGAAAAAAAAAAAAGGGCAGGCCATAATGTTAATGTGCCTTAGTTGCTGTTCTCAGATCATCTACAACATACCTACACCAAAATGCAAATTTAAAAAATTAATAGTCCTGATAAAGAAACATGGATCTGTCCAGCTCTGCCAAAACCAAAACTGAACATCTGCTAGTTAAAAACCAAGTTGTTGGGGCTCAACTGACATTATGGGGGAAAAAAATAAAGAAGAAATTACTGGCATTACCTTTTTTGGAAACTTTACCCCTGACTACCTGTAAATTTCTTGGAGGTGAGAGGTGGGAGGCAGGAGGGGAGAGAATGAAACCTGTCTGACTGAATTTAGGAGGAGAATCAGATTGGTGTCACTGACTACCAAGAAAACGTTCATTCCCTTAACAGTTACACAAGTTAAAATATAATTTTGCAGATGCTATATTCTGCTAACTATACCTTGAGGGAGAAAAGCAGTAATTTATCACTGAACAATAACAAATCAAAACTCTGGGATCCATGAAAAACTGGATGCTCATTTTCTATTCTTACTCATTCCAGAATGGGCAGTATTTGAAGATCTTTTGGTTTAAAAGACACTTGCAAATAAGTACAGCCAGATTTTCTTCCTCTTCCCATCCCAGAGAACTGATATAATGAGGTTAGCTTGGAAGTACAGGCTCAGAGAGCAAATGGACCTTATCATTATGTTCTGGTGAGTTGCACACAAAGGAACAGGAGAAGGTGGAGAAGGCAAGGCAGTTGGCACTCAGTCTACTATGATCACCGTAAGAAGGCAGAAAAAAACAAACGTTATTTTGGTGATATTTAGCACAAAGAAAAAAGTTCAGTGGGTCATTAAATGCTGTCATTGAGAGAATCATCAGAATATAACTAATCTCTGTTCTACAATTCACATGAACTGTGAGGATTAACATCCTGTCTTTGCAGCCAGCCTACTTTCCCAGTGAATACAGGAAGAAGCCTGCCCAGAGTGGGACTTGAATTATAACATGTTCACTACTAGTGCTGACAACAAAAAGAATAGCATGAGAAAATAAAAAAGTAGTTGCCAGCAAACAAACATACTAATTGTCCTAAAAGTAATGACAAGAGCAATCACCATGTTTGTTTGAATTTAAGACTCACAGACTCATGGAAGGCACTGAATTTCACAGGAGTTTAGATCAGAAGAAAGAATCTTTGCAGACTACACGGTACACAGCCCTTTGAGTCCCAGCAGGGCCCACTTTAAGCCTGGATGAGGGACTGCATCCTGAGTTGCCTGGAGCTGGCAGGGTCAGTAGGCACAGTGAAGGCTGGAAAATACTGTCAATGATAAAGGTTTCACTAAGATATTTTCAGCTCCATGAAACTCTAGAACTGGCTCATACCAAGGAGCTGTTCATTTTCATTTCAGCATGTTGCATTCTGTCCAATAGGCAAGTCAGTGTGCATCCCTACAAAGAAGCTGAGCATTCATACATTTGGCATGGAATATGTATAAAATGCACAGTCTGAAACTCATTGCACATAATATCATCCACAAACTTCTTAATAATTGTCTTTTTTGTATTCTCATTCAGCACAGACTGCTCAAGTTAAGACAGACAATTTAATAGTCTTCATATGCCATGATAGAATCATTCACTTCTTTGATTGCAGGTTAGCATGTGGCCCAATCTGACAGCAAATTAAAGTTATCTCTGACAACCAACCAAGAGGTTCTTTGTGAAGGTCTCTATCAGTCTCATGTAAGTTGACAGTCTTTTCAAATCTTGCATTAATTGTTATCCATCTTTATTATCTTGGCAGAAATAAAAGATGTATTATGAAGACACCCCAGACAAATTTTGCTCCAGCAAAGGTAAATCTCTGGAACAAGTCTGGAAAACAATGATAGAAAGATGACTGCCTTGTCTCAAGCACTTCAGAATTTGTCTTTGACGGAAACCAAGACTGCATTTCCCAGAGCCACCAGTCCAGCAACCAGTTCATTTACAGT